CAAAATTACAGATTCTGATAACTAGCATCTTTTCCATTTTAATTTCCTCCCTAATTGCTCCAGAAGTGTTTATGGTTTTTTTGTTGAACCAAGACTGAGTCAGTATATATGCATTACATTTGGTTGTTGTATCTCTTTAGTTTTTTGCAGGCTAGAATAATCCCTTCACATCCCCACCCACACCCACCCAAACTATGTTACATTTGACATTTTGAGCAGACCAGTTGCTTATAAAATGTTACAAATTCTGGATTTGTTTAATAGCCTAATTTTTAAAATGTCATTATTAGAGTAAAAATGTTCTAGAATGTTCATGGCAATTTAACTCTGGGAGATATTTTTATTATTTTTTCTTTATCCACTCTTTCTACTTTTGCTTGTTTCACAACAAACTAACTTAGAAAAAGTCTACTTGTGGGGAAAAGCAAACCCAGGCTAGGCAGAATAATGCTGACAGAGAAGAAATACAGATATGAAACCCTTGAAAGAGGTTGATGATTATGGAGAATGTAAAAGAATACTACTGAAGAGGTTTTCATCTCATGGTTCATGCCTTTACCAAATCTTTTCAGCGGTACTGTCTGTTTTTTGTGTGTATGTCCATTAAATACTATAGTGCTATCCTGACCTTGCCTTAAAATAATGCAAACATCAAAACAATTGCTTTAAATACATCATAGCTTTAAAATTGCTTGGAGAGTGAAGCTGGCTTTGCCACGGAAATGCCCATGAAACAGAACACATCTTGTCTCCACAGTGGAAAGAGGTCAGAAAATCAGTGAGCACATTGTCATTGGCACCCCGGGGACCGTTCTGGACTGGTGCTCCAAGCTCAAGTTCATCGACCCCAAGAAGATCAAGGTGTTTGTCCTCGACGAGGCTGACGTGATGATAGCCACTCAGGGCCACCAAGACCAGAGCATCCGCATCCAGAGGTAGGCCCGGCGCCCGGGGGGCTTCTGGGCTGCCGACCCGCAGCTCCTGCTCCTGTTACCTCACACTCCCCTTCTTGCCCCTGCCAGGCTCCTCGCAGCTCTCGGGGGCCTTTGTGTGATGGGCCATTTCTGTGCCAGCACTGAGCGTGCCCTCCGCCCGGCTTAAGGAGGGAGACTCAGAGACTCTTGGTCACCCGTCCCTGCCCCACGGCTGCTCCCCCTTCCTCCCCAGAGCTGCTCCCCGCTGCCCCTTCCTGGGGATGCAGGTCATCAGGCCTGGGGAGGCTGTGCCCCGGTCCTTCCAGGGAAAGCCCGGGTCAGGGTCATGCCGGACAGCTGGGCCTCCCCTTGCAGGATGCTGCCCAGGAACTGCCAGATGCTGCTTTTCTCTGCCACCTTTGAAGACTCTGTCTGGAAATTTGCCCAGAAAGTGGTCCCCGACCCGAACATCATCAAACTGAAGCGTGAGGAGGAGACACTGGACACCATCAAGCAGTATTACGTCCTGTGCAACAGCAGAGACGAGAAGTTCCAGGCCTTGTGTAATATCTACGGGGCCATCACCATTGCTCAAGCCATGATCTTCTGCCATGTGAGCAGCAGCAGCAGGCGGCGGCGGTGTCCCGTGGGGGTGGGGGCCCCTGGAGGACGTGGCCCCGCTGCTCCCACTCAGCCAGCTGCACTTAGTGCTAGGGACCGTGTTAACTGCCTGTGGCTGCAAAGGAGACAAATCGGTCCCAGGACATAGTCTCTCAGGCTGTAATGAGTTGTAAGGGGAAGACTGAAGAGCTAAACCTTCTCCAGTCCCTACGTCTCAGAGATTACTTGGGGGGAAAAAATTCCAAATAACTTCCAAGTAAATAATTTTGAAGCATTAAGAATGTAGATTATTTCAGAATGAAGACCTTTGGCTCAAACCACAATAACACTGAGATCATTGATGTAATTTATCCCCCAAAAATCATGTGGCTAAAAAGTATTCAGAAACTTTAAGCCCATCTTGCTGACTGAACTCAGTAGAGCGTTCGTGTGTGTTAACAGCAAAAAAAAAAAAAAGCCACTTTTCTGCAGGTGTCTTCATTTAAAACAATTCTTTTCACTCCAGACCCGCAAAACAGCTAGCTGGCTGGCCGCAGAGCTCTCGAAAGAAGGCCACCAGGTGGCCCTGCTGAGTGGGGAGATGGTGGTGGAGCAGAGGGCTGCGGTGATTGAGCGCTTCCGGGAGGGCAAAGAGAAGGTTCTGGTCACCACCAACGTGTGTGCCCGCGGTGAGCGGAGACCGGGTCCTGGCCCGCCAGGCTCGGGGCGGCAGGGAGAGCTTCGTGTGTGGGAGGCTGCGGTGGTCTGGGGGAGATGCTGTTTTGTGGGCGAGCCTGTGGGCTCCTCAGCCGAGGAGACCGTCCACAGAAGCCGGGAGTGCTGGCTGGTGGCCGAGGACGGCGCCTGCTCTTCTTGGCCCCAGTGCGGCGTCAGCTCCTTCTCCAGATCCTGGCATCCAGCAGAGGCTCTCTGGCTGATGCCGGAATTTGGCCAGCACCGGGACGGTCCCGTCCTCTCCCTCTGGGTTCTGCCACCTGCCCGTGTCCCAACCCCAGAGCTGGCCTGTCCCAGACCCTGCCTTCCGCCTGAGCTGGGTGAGGGTGGGCCTGGGTGGGCCTGACCAGGCAGCGGCGACTTCTGTCTCCCGTGCTCACTCGTGTCCAACCCTCCCGCACGCAGGGATCGATGTGGAACAGGTGTCTGTCGTCATCAACTTTGACCTCCCCGTGGACAAGGACGGGAACCCGGACAACGAGACCTACCTGCACCGGATCGGGCGCACCGGCCGCTTTGGCAAGCGGGGCCTGGCCGTGAACATGGTGGACAGCAAGCACAGCATGAACATCCTGAACAGAATCCAGGAGCATTTCAGTGAGTCCCGGGAGGGGCCCTGTCCCTGTCCCGGCCCTCGCCTTCCCCAGGACAGGATGGCCTCCGTGCACCCGGAGCGCTCGGCCGGGCCGCCACCTCGGGGGCGCGGGGAGGCCTGCGGCGGGGGGCGGGCACGTCCCAGGGAGCCCCTCCCCTCCTGCGTGCCCTGCGACCTGTGCGGGGCTCTCTCCGAACCCGCCTTTCTCTTCCCTCAGATAAGAAAATAGAAAGACTGGACACGGACGACTTGGACGAGATTGAGAAAATAGCCAACTGAGAAGGCCCTGCAGTCTCTGTGCCGCCCCCGCCCCGGACACGCGTGCTTCCACGGCGCAGCCTGACTGTTCCCGCAAGGACGACAGCACGAGTAGACAAACTGCCTACCTCATCTGAAATTACGTTTGGACTTGACAAAAATTGCCCAAATTATTCAGGAAGGTAGAAGAAAAAAATCTGAGTTTTGGAAAATTGAGTCCTTTTCCTCCCATCCCTTTTCGAAGCCACGGTCTCCCCCATCTTTATAACAATGTGGTCACTATTGGTGACCGCTGGCCGCAGGAGCCACTGCCTGTTTTCTGGCCAGGGGTGTCCAGACCACCTCGAGGCCCTGAAGCAACAACAGAGGAGCAGCCTGGGCCCTCCGCGGATCCACTGGTGTCCTGGCTGATTGCTTTCCCTCTGTTCTCTGCAGAGGAATCCCACCCTCTCCCGGGGTGAGCGTCTTGGCTCCCTTTGTACACCTCAGATTTGGGGGGAGCACGAAGTCAGCGAATTGTCTTCAGAGGCACTGGCCTGGCACAGCTGGGTGGCCCAGGGCCGCCTCCCCCTCCTGCAGTGGCTCTGTCTGCTCAGGTGCCTGGCGTCCCGGCCGCTGAGGTGGTTTCTGACACACACCTGGCCGGGTGAGCTCTTAGCGCGGACGGCACTCTATGCCTGGACGTGAGCAGCAGAGTTTGGAGGGCAAGTTATGACCAAGCGAAAGCTCTGATGATGCCGTTCATGGGTAACAGTGGACCTGTTGCTTACTCTGATTCATATACTGTCTTTATGAATAAGGACGGACTAATCAGAGCTATACCCATCATCCACTATGTTAAAAAATTTAAAAATAATTATGGACCGCTTTACTAATCATGATTTGTTGTTTTTACTTGTATTTTTCTGCTTATTAGACTAATACAGGCTCATTAAAAAGGTGTGTGTGTGTGTAATTTATAAAGTGCAAGTGTTCTGGCCCCCGCTTCTCTGGGTTCACCACTGCTAGCAGCTTGGTGAATATTCAGAATATCGCCTTCTGTTTGATTATGTCAACCTACTTTTCTTTTGCAAAAATGTGAACATTCTGCTGGCATTGTGCAGCCTGCCTTCTCACTCACATGTGTGTCTTGGACACGTGACATGGCGGTGCCTCCCTCTCCATCAGCACCATTCCAGGATGTAGCTGCCCCAGCATTTGCGTCCCGGCTCCTAGTGAGAAACACAGGGTTGTTGCCCACAGCAAATGCTGGTCCCTCTCCTCTCTGCCCCGCTGAGACCTACTCAGGATGTGTTTCTGGAAGTAGAGTTGTTGGGTCAGAGTGGAGATGCTTAACATTTTAACACATTGCTAATGTAGCCTGCTGAAAAGTTTTTACCAACATGTCATTTCAGTAATAACAAAAATACCTACCTGCTTGCCAACCCTCCTCCATATGAATTTTTAAAACTGCAACTCCGAGGAGCAAAAATAGATTACATAATTGCTTTTTTTAAAATTGTAGCAATATTTGGGTTTATTGGTATTTATACCAGCACCTCTTCTGGGGGTGCTGCCCATTCCCATCTCACCATTTTGTCACCGGCTTGTTTGACCTCTGTGAGTTAGAGCCACCTTTCTGCTTTAGGGAAGTTAGACTGTCTTGAGTGGTAGATGTTTTCCTAGTTTGTCTTTACAAAATCATTTTTTCTTAATACTACACAAAAGTTTAACTTCAGTCTTAACATTCATTTTAAAGAAATCTGGATTTGGTGTCGTGGGCAGAAAATCTTTGCTCATCTCAGTATTATAAATTACTCATGTTTTTGCAGGTCTTAAAATGATTTGCCTGCCTGATCTTCTGTGAGGTATTACTCTTACCTACGGGTGAGTGTATGGCAGAGCTGTGCATGCGTGAGTCAGAGTTGAGACCGAGCGACAAGGTCCAAAAGGGACCGGATGTGGGAGAGAGTCCAGGGAGTGAAGCAGGCAGACAGCGACCGCAGGTTATGAGGGGTGCACACGAGCCACGGGTGCGGGAGTGGCTCTGAGAAGAGTGGGGTGAGAAAGGCAGCAAGGGTCCAGAAAGGCTGGGGAAGGGGCAGCGGGGCTGGCGAGGAGGAGGCGTGCGGGTGTTCGGAGGGAAACGAGGAGGGACAAGAGGCCTGGTGCAGAGCCAGCGTTCCAGTTAGGTGACACCCACGTGGACCCAGAAACACAGCAGCGATACAGAAAAGGGAGAACCAGAAAACATACTGTCCAACCCCCAAGACGAGGTGAACACTGTGGATCAGCAACAGGGAGAAATGCAGTGTGCTGAGCAGGGCTGAAGCCAGAGCTTGCTGTGCTCCCGTCTGGGGGCAGAGCAGCTGCCGGCCAGCAGGTCCCGTGGAGCCAAGGAACTGGGAAGCACTGCATACAAGATCGGAACCCAAGGCAGCATTACTGCTCGGATGGAGCTGGACAGGAGCTTCACCTGCCTGCCCCCTGGATGGAGGCTTCCATCAAGACACAGGCCCTGGAGGCAGGGAGGAGGACTTGGGCCCTGTCCTGCAATACGAACACAACCAAATTTCAGCAGATTCGCACAGTAAGACTATTCTTGGATGTTCCTGATTGGTTGACTCTTGACCCTTTCCCCCGACTCCTTCCATGGAAAAAACCTTTTTTTAAAAAAATACTTGATTTTTTTATAATAGTTGTAAGTGTATAGAAAGAAAAAGCAAAGTTACCTTACAGTAAAGGAAGGACTGAACTCAGATCCCTCTGAATGTGTACACTCACTGTGTGTTCTTTTTACTTCAAGCCTTCTCCCTAGAGAGAAGCCGTGTTACCAGAAAGAGCCTGTATTCTTCTCAAAAACAAAAACCAGTTGTTGGATGAAAGGTATTGTTTCTATATTCTTGGGGAACAGGCTGGCCCTGATACGCACAGTTCACTGAGTGGAAGGGGAACGGGCATCTTTTTGCATTTTTGTGTTAGTTGTCACACAGACATAGACTCACTGCAAAAGCTGTGATTTTTCTGGACGGGTAGTGAGAAGGAGCATTGATTCCTAACTCACGCTCAGAAAGGAAAAATTTGATTTGTAAAAATGTTTTAGAATTTCACCCTTCCCCTCCACAAGCCAGGAATGATGTTTTCCTACCGTGCCAAGCGTGTCACAGGAAGGAGTTCCTTGCCTGCCGAATGGCAGTTCCCAGCCGTTCGTTCCTGTGATAGATAAATAAAATACTTAATCATTTCCTGCCCCTTCCCCTGGCATCCAGCAGAGTGCCAGCCAAGTGTGTATCCACCTACCCCTGGCCAGGCCATAAATCCAAGTGTTTCTCTCCAAGGATCCCTCTGTATTCAGACAGCATTACTGCTTACCCAAATATGGTACCTCTCTTTAGAGTACACATTCTTACTGGATTGAGGCATGGCTGTGGGACTTCTCTGGCATCAAGGAAATGTGAACTTCTTGACAGAAGCATTCAAAGACAGCCTGTGGCTCACAAGATTCTTTTTATCTGCCCCTGAAACAACAGACCCACCCCCAGATGGTGCCACTGTCTGCCTGGGTCCTGAGTGGTCTGAGGAACAGAGCTCCTGATGGAAAAATAGCTTGTGAGAAATATTTTAAGCCACTGCCAGTTGGAAAGATGTTTATCATTGCGGTACAACCTAGCTTTATCCTTACCATCTCTCCCTGCCTGGGAAAAGCTGGTTCCCTGTTCAGGCAACCTAATGTCAACCCAGATAGCAGGTATGTTCCACCCAGGTATGCAAGATTCCCAAGCAGTTTCTTAATCCATTATTTTAGAAAAGAGAACAATTCCCAATTATTTAAAAAGCCTCCATCGTGACAGAAAGGGATTTTAAAAAAATCAGAAAAAAATCAGCTCTGTGAAGACAGAAAAACTGAGGAAGAAAAGGGTATCTGCTAAGTATGCAATTAAATATCACATTTAGCTAACTTTCCTTTCCACGAGCTTGTTGAAATTATAGGGGAGGAGAAAGGTATAAACTCATATGGACAAATAAAATGGAAGCTGTGACATCAGAAGAGGAAATTTAACAAAATGTTTGGAACACACAAAAATAAATGAAAAAACTCCAATTTTTAGCGATATGGGGAACTACATAGAACATGAAAAAAATCCCAATCCAAAAACCAGCTACAAAGTCGATGTATTCTGTTTGACTACATCAATGAACAACTACTTTTATTGTTTTACTTTTAACATTTAGCTCTGACTCTTTTGGTATTTTGGTGGTTTTGGCTATGGATCTAATTTTACCTTTTTCCAGATGGTTATCTAGTTATTTCAATAACATTTATTGCAACATCCATCTTTTCCTAAGTGACTTGAGAGGTCATCTCTGTTATAAACTGAACTTCCATACAGACTCGGGTCTAGGCAATCAGACTAATGAAAGAGAACGGAGTATCAGGGTCAATCAGTCAGTTCAGTTGCTCAGTCATGTCTGACTCTTTGTGGCCCCATGGACGCAGCACGCCAGGCTTCCCTGTCCATCACCAACTCCCGGAGCTTGCTCAAACTCATGGCCATTGAGTTGGTGAGGCCATCCAACTATCTCATCCTCTGTTGTCCCCTTCTCCTCCTGCCTTCAGTCTTTCCCAGCAACAGGGCTTGTCCTAAGAAATCAGTTTTTCACATCAGATAGCCAAAGTATTGGAGCTTCAGCTTCAGCATCATTCCTTCCAATGAATATTCAGGACTGATTTCCTTTAGGATGGACTGGTTGAATCTCCTTGCAGTCCAAGGGACTCTCAAGAGTCTTCTCCAACACCACAGTTTGAAAGCATCAATTCTCGGGTGCTCCCGCTCCGCTTTCTTTCGGAGAAGGCAATGGCACCCCACTCCAGTGCTCTTGCCTGGAAGATCCCGTGGATAGAGGAGCCTGGTAGGCTGCAGTCCATGGGGTTGCTAGGAGTCGGACACGACTGAGCAACTTCACTTTTACTTTTCACTTTCATGCATTGGAGAAGGAAATGGCAACCCACTCCAGTGTTCTTGCCTGGAGAATTCCAGGGATGGGGGAGCCTGGTGGGCTGCCATCTATGGGGTCGCACAGAGTCGGACATGACTGAAGTGACTTAGCAGCAGCAGCAGCAGCTTTCTTTATAGTCCAACTCTCACATCCATACATGACTACTAGAAAAACCATAGGTTTAACTAGATGGATCTTTGTCAGCAAAGTAATGTCTCTGCTTTTTAATAAGCTATCTAGGTTGGTCATAGCTTTTCTCCCAAGGAACAAGCATCTTAAATTTTATGGCAGGAGTTACCTTCTGCAGTGATTTTGGAGCCCCCCAAAATAAAGTCTCTCACTGTTTCTGTTGTTTCTCCATCTATTTGCCATGAAGTGATGGGACTGGATGCCATGATCTTAGTTTTCTGAATGTTGAGTTTTAAGCCAACTTTTTCACTCTCCTCTTTCACTTTCATGAAGAGGATCTTTAGTTCTTCACTTTCTGCAATAAGGGTGGTATCATCTGCATATCTGAGGTTATTGATACTTCTCCCAGCAATCTTGATTCTAGCTTGTGCTTCATCCAGCCTAGCATTTCACATGATGTACTCTGCATATAAGTTAAATAAGCAAGGTGACAATATACAGCCTTGATGTACTCCTTTCCCAATTTGGAACCAGTCTGTTGTTCCATGTCCAGTTCTAACTGTTGTTTCTTGACCTGCATACGGATTTCTCAGGAGGCAAGTAAGTATCAGGGTAGTGGTCACCTTTAGGGGAAGGATGGGAGTTAGCAAGGAAGATGGAGCAGAAAGGCCTCTGGGTTGCTTGCACAACCTGAGGGTGATTACGTCAGTGTTCATCTTAAATCACTAAGGAACCTCTATACTGTTTCCCATAGTGGCTGCACTAACTTACATTCTCACCAACAGTGCACAAGGGTTCCCTTTGTTCCACATCCTCACCAGTGATTATCCCTTGTTTCTTTGATAAGTCGTTCTAAAAGTAGTGTGGTGATATCTCATTATGGCTTTGATTTGCATTTCCCTGAGGATTAAGGATGTTGCTCATTTTTCATGGACCTGTTGGCCATCTGTATGTCTTCTTTGAAGAAATGTTTATTCATATCTGCCCATTTTTTAATCAGATTGTTTTTGTTTTTTTGCCATTGTGTTATATGAGTTCTTTATATATTTTGGTTTCATGTTTTACATTTAAGTCTAATCCATTTGGAGTTAATTTCTGTGAGGGGTGTGAGATAGGCTCTAGCTTCACTCTTGTGAATAGAACTACCATATGATTCAACAATTTCACTCCTGGGTACACATCCAAGGGAATATTACTATCTCAAAGAGACATGTGCACTCCCATATTCACTGCAGCATTATTTACAATAGCAAAGACACAGAAACAACCTAAATGTCCATTGACAGATGAAGGGGTAAAGAAAATAAGAAAATATGAATATATATATACAACAGACTATTATTCGGCCATTAAAAAAAAAAAAAGAAATCCTGCCTTTTGTGACAACAGGGATGGACATTGAGGGCGTTATGCTAAGTGAAATAAGTTCGATGGATAAAGACAAATATTGTGTGATCTTACTTTCATGCAGAATCTAAAAATACTGCTCTCATAGAAACAGAGAGCAGATTGGTGCTTGCCAAAAAGGAGGAGGAATGGGCAAAGGCGGCCAAAAGGTATAAACTTCCAGTGTAGGATAAAAAGCTCTAGGGATAAGCTCATGGGAGCTATAGTTAAAAGCACAACACTTACAAATCAACTATACCTCAATAAAATTTTTTAAAATTAGTGATTGGAGCACCATCTTTAAAGCCACTCTGGTGGCTGTCATTTGAGGGTCAGCAAATAATGGGATCCCAGCATAACAGAGACTAGAAAGCCATGCCTCCTGACTTGAGACAGGGAGGCACATCTACCACAATAATCCAGTTTGGCAACTAGAGTTCTGACCTCTAAGGATTTGGAACAATAGTTAATTGACCATTAAGGTCCCCAGAAATGAAACAGATGCTTGGAAGCCTACTAAAGTATTGCTTGATGTGTATGGGAGAGAAGATTCTAAGAGTGCTGGGAAGAAACCTGAGTTGCAGTGATAGGAATTTTCAGGTTTTTACTCAGTTCCCAGACCTAATCAGGCCACACACCTGGAGCCCTTTTCAAGCAGATCTCAGGGTCCCTTGTGCAGCTGTTGCTTTCCCAGAGCAACCTACTTCCAGAGTGACAGTGCCCTGGGAGAAGGGAAATGCCGCCTTTCAGGAGTCACCATACGCTAGCTTTGAGACCGGAATGCCAAAGCAGCCCACTTTATTATGAGACTTTGAGCTTCTTATGGCCAATGACAGATGGAGCTCTGGTTCAAGTCCATTTAATGGTGGGTCCAATGAGATTCATTGGACATTCACAGATTCATCTTAAGGTAATTTCCTTAGTTCCAAAAGGAAAGAGAGATATTTACTACCTGGCAAAATCTCCATACTGGCAACCAGACCCATGGGGGTAGGGCCTAACAGATGTCCCTGGGACTATCTCCAACATGCTAAATCAAACTCAATACCACATTCCAGAAGGGTTAGCAGAAACTGGTGCTGCCATCCAGCTTGAGTTATGGAAGGATGGGTGACTTCTTCCTCATCCCATTCACTCGCCATCTGAATCATGGAGAATGACAGTAGTTTATTGCAACAGTGCTAACTTGTGATTCCTGATACAGTATCTTTGCCAAATCAAAGCAATGGAGTCCGCGGCCAACATTAAAAAATAAAAAGATATAATTTGTGAGGCTCAATCCTGGAGGTAACATGTACAACACCTGGAGTGCTGCTCCCACCAAGGACAGTGACCCGTAAGACAGCGGCTTTGAGTGGGGCCCAGACAAGAAACAGTTCTTGGCAGTCCTGGCTATGTGCATGTCATGTGGACTCTGGGCCTTATGATTCAGGTACATGCTACCGGGGAGTGTCTGTGGCAGAGAACGGTCATATGGAGCCTCTGGCAACTCCAAATAGGAGAATTACAGCCCAGAGACCTACAGTTTCAGAATAAACCCTCCACCACTTCCAAAAAGTGGTGCCCTCCTCCACCAAAAAGTATCTTCCATTTGCAAAATCACTCAGCTTGCTCTTGGGCATTGGCAGAAACTGGACAGCAGGGCACCAAGCTGAGTACAGACTCTGAAAAGAGCCATCATGAGATAACTCATCCACCAGACTATACGACTGTATGTTCAGGGGCATTCTGATGCATGATGGAAGTTAAGGTCTAGTAGATCCAGACAGCCTAAGAAAATGGCACAGTTACCTCAGACGCCTGTGGCACCAGCTCCAAGCATTTTGCCAATTCCCTGCCAACCCACACCTATGGCATCATGCGAAGCTGCACAGAACCCAGAAACAGAGCAGGGAAAGCCCCATCCTGGTACCTGCGGGGTCTGCACACTGTGCTGGGCCCACACAGCGGGCAGTGGTGAAGGCCACCCTCCCAGAGGGCACAGCTGGTGGCTGGGAGGCTTCATGTATAAGGGATGGGTGCCTGGGAGTCGTCCCTTCCCCACTTCACCACCCCCTCCCAGCAATGCCCCCAACAGTCTTCACCATTACTTGGTCACAACTTCCAATTGACAGATACACCTTTCCACCATCAAACACATTTCAAAAAGAACAAGTGAATATAGTTTCTTATTTTTAATTCAGAAAGAGAAAGGGAAGAAAATAAAAAACATTTGCTTAAATAACTATTGTAGAAAAGAAGATCTGGGCTGGGTGCTGGGACCTACCTCTTCCAGAATGGGGATTTATTAATGTTCTAAACAAAACAAAACCCAAACAAAAGAAGAAAAAGGAACAACAACAAAAGAAATAAATTATTCTGCTCAATACTGTTTGGCATAATTGCATTTTTTCATCTCTTAAACACTCAAGAGCCTCTTTAGGAAGCACTGAGATGAGGCTGGCAAGAATAACTGGTCTTGACTTTCTAAAATGATGGGGAGGAGGTGGTGAAAGAGGTGTTCCAATAAAGGCCTCCCTAACCCACCCCCGTTCTTCACTCCTCCTACTTTTGGAATTGGTAAGGGACAGACTCAAGCTAAGTTCTCAATATATTAACTTTTAGCGGGGCCCACGCCCCCCCCCCCCCCCCCCCCCACTAAGCCTCTAACATACTCCTCTGCTGGCTCCTGTTCCCTCAGCCAGCTGCAGGAACTATACCAAAGACCAGGAGGCTGCCGAGTGGTATCAACTCACTAAGAAAAACGGGTGGTTTTTATGTTTGTTTGTTTAATGTTTTTTAAGTCATTGTTGGGAAGGGGGATCCTTTTAGTGGTTTGGAAGCTTCACAGAAGCCCTTTTCCCCTCCTACACTCCCCCAACCTTCAAGGGTGAGAATACCTTCAGCAGCTTCCTCTAGGAACTTAAGCTGGGTTCAGTCATGCAAGTAGCTTCCAGCTGTAACCTCTGGTTGTTAGCTTTGCAGCCCTTCTAGAGCTGGAAACGGAAAGTGGGTCAGAGGGAAAAGGCGCAAGGTGAGCACGGGTAAGGGGATATGTGGGCAAGGGAGGAGGCATGCAAGGGGCAAGTCCACTCCTCCCCAGCTATTTGCATGGCCAGCTCAGTATCTGAAAAGCATCTTTGTTGGTCGGCCACCCATGATAATTCCAGGTTAGCTGAATCATAAGGCTAAAGCAAATTCCAACCCAGAGCAAGAGGTTTCCTACCCTTTCGGGGGGTGACGGGTGAAGGACCAGAGAGCTGGTCTCATCTCCAGGCTTCTGTCCTACGTGCTGCTCCCTCTCCCTAGAGGCAGCCAAAGGGGGAAAGGCGGGGGAGCTGCACAGCCCTAATCACAGGGCAATCTTCCCCCCTCAGAGGAACAAGTAGCCTGGTGAGGAGACCCAGGGCCTAGGGAGACACTGAAAAGGTTGTGAGCAAACAATAGAGCCCAGGGCACACGGGAAAGCACCTGACATCTGACGTGACGGGGTTTCCTGTCTCCTGTCCTATTCCTTACACCTGTGTTTCAGAGTTGAGCCCTAGACGAAGTTCGCCCGCCTAGGAAGGGGTGCACACAATCTTAGTTTTCTGGTGAGACACTAAATGCCGCGGTCAGAAAGCCCATTCCACGGGGTGGCCGAGGGCGGGAGGGGAGGAGGCAGGAGGAGAGGACCCACGTGCCCTTCAGATTCTCACTGCATTTCTTTGGTGGGTTTGCACTCACCCATCTACGTCTGACCGATCAAGGAAATGTGGGTCTAGTTCTCTAGGCGGTCCGGGGCGGTCTGGGAGGGCTCTAACTTTTCCCCTGGGGAAAAGTGCGCTCCCTGAAAACCACCTGACGGCCCCGCTCCCCGCCGACCCGAAAGGCTGCCGGAACGCCCTTCCGCCCGCCCCGCGGTCACGGAGCACTCCCGGGAAGGAGTCGTCTCCCCGCTGTCTCGCATCCTCCCCACCGTTTCCTTCTCGGCGCCCCCAGGGAGGTTAGGCAGGAAAGCGACCGAGACGCCTCCTGCCGAACCTGCGGGAACCTTCTCGAAGCCGGAACGAACTCCTACTCCTTAGAAAGCGTGAAATAAAATCCTACCCAAAAGCATAAGGGAGTGGGAAATTAATCGACCGCCGGCCCGCCCCTGAAGGCCATCGATTGGCGGATACGGGTCCCGGCGCCGGAAGTCCTCCTTGAGTCGCATGATTGGCTGGAGGCCCCGCCCGCCGGCGGCGCTGATTGGTGCTCGGCTGGTGGCGTCTCCTCACTGGCCGAGGATGCCAGCGCTCGCTGGGCTGCAACGTGATTGGTCCAGGCCGCAGCGGCGGCGATCGGATTGCCCGCTGACGCTCCGGAGGGCGCCGCCCCGGGGCTGACCCCGAGTCCTGGCGGGAGCCGCGCTGCGGGGCCGAAGAGTCGCGGCGCGGCCGGGCTCAGTTCCCTCTGTAGACCTCGATCTTGCTGGCCTTGGCCAGCATGTCGATGATGTGCGCCTCGAAGTCGGCGTCGTGCACGCCCGTCTTCCGGAACTCGCCCGCGTACCGGTTATTCTCCCAGTAGTGGTGCCAGTTGCCCCGGCTGTCGGCCCCGAAGCCGTACACGTTCACCTGCGGGTGAGGGCGGCGCGGGTCACTGCACGTCGGGGACCCGGTAGCAGAGGGCACGGGAGAGCCTTGGGTCGTGGGAGGGGACGAGAAAGGGGCCGCGGCGCCCCGACCCGAGCAGGCGGCGCCTCATCCGCTCCCGACGCGCTGCACGCGCCTAGAAGACCCGGGACACCCAACCCTGACACTGTTCCAGAAGACACTGTCCCAGAGGGAGAGGGCTGTTCCCTTCCGGTTCTCCTTCCAGCCACCTTCTGATGACATCAAGAACGCCTGAGTTTGGGGCCAGCCTGACAGCTCACCAACCCTTGCTAACATTTTTTCCCCCTTAATGGTGTATTTTACTGAAAGCTGGTCAGGTACGCAATATCATACACTGAATAGTTTACTGGCGAAAGGGTGTGCTGGGCATGAGCACTGCTATCCATGGCAGAGTAGCAGGCAGAGCCCAGAGAAGGGCTCCTTGAATGACTAATCTCCATTTTTAACACAGAGTAGGCCTGGGGCCCACAGCTGTGGGAGACACTATTCTGTTGAAACAACTACAACACTGTTCCACTTCATTTATGGTTATTCTTTCTTTATGGCAAGTAAATATCAATTATGGTATTCAATTTCCTGTTTAAATAAATTTAACGTTTTAATGAACTGATATCAGATACGGTAAAATCATGAAAATAGTAAGTTTGGGAAATGCAGATCTATACCCTGCAGCCTAGAAATAGGGTGAATGAAAGCCACTTAGTTCCTTCCTACAAAAACACATTCCTCTTGATGCACTGCTAAGCCCTGACAAAGGCTGGTTCCCTCTGCCCCTTGGGTTCTACTATCTTATCCCCAGACAGGCTACCCACCTCATCACACACATGCAGGGCAAAGAAGAGTACCAGCATCCCAGTGGAAGGGTACCGCCCATGATGCTCTGTCCACCTGTCATGGATGTACTTGAAGAAGGCTGGGTTGTAGATCTGGACCTAGGAGGAGAAAATGTAATGAGCATATGAGGGCTTCTGGGACCTGAAATCCCAGGCCAAGCTCTGATCAGTTCCTCCACATGTGCCAGTACACCTGTCCATCAGGGTTTCCTAGTTCCTGCAGCCTTTGGGGGGTGGGGGGTGGGGCAGGGAGGGTGGAGTCAGGCATACCAGCAGATGGGGACTCTTAAGGTTCTGGAAGGGTACTGGGGGATACCTGAACCACAGGACCAGGCACGGCATGAGTCAGGCCTGCACTATTTCCATTGAGGTGGGGAGGAGGAAGCTTACCTTTTCTTTGTCCACTCGAAGGAAGGACTTCACTGGGGCATAGGTGCTGCAAGCAGAAAGAAAAGTAACGCTGAGCTGGCTCCATACACCCAAGGATGCCTTTCCTCCCGCTGAGGCCCAAGTGATGACGGCCTCATGACAGGCTGCCCTGCTTCCAGACTGCTCTCCCACTGCACCTCACTGCAGCTCCTTGTCCAGAAACCAATGGCTCCCTACGTCCTCCAAGATAATATAAGGATGGTTTACACAAGCACTGGGGCGTTCCATAACTCAGCGGCAACTTTTCTTCCTATGACTCGGCTGTGACGTCTCTACTTGGGTTAGCCCATCTTCTCACACCCAGCATGTCTGTGCTCTTAACCTCTGCCCACAGCAGCCCTGACACTACTGTCATCACATTAGGCACAAATCCCTCCTTCCCTATTAGCCATGGTGCCTGTAACCTATGCTCCCATTTCTGAGTATCCATGAAACTTAAACTCTACTTATTTTACTTATTTTATTATTTTACTTATTTTAGCCCTGAGGACTCCCAAACATAAGCTAAAGTCAGAAAACTGCAACTTCTGTGTTTAAAAAAATACATGGTGAAAATAGGCAAAGGTGGAAGTAATCCAGTTGTCCAATGGACAGATGAATAGATAAAAATGATATATCCATACACCAGAATACTGTGCAGCCTTTAAAGGGGATAAAACCCTGACACAGGCTATAACACAGATGAGCCCTGAAAACATGATGCTACTGAAATAAGCCAGAGGCAAAAGGACAAACACTGTATGATTCCACGTGTATGAAATACCTAGAACAGTCAAATCATAGAGACAGAAAGAACAGTGGTTATCAGGGGCTGGAGGGAGGAGGGAATGGGGAGTTACCATTTAATGGGTACAGAGTTTTCATCTGAGATGATGAAAAAGTTCTGGAGATAGGCTGTGGTGAGATTTGTACAGCAATGTGAATGCACTTAATGCTCATGAACTGTGTGGTTAAAATAGCATTTTATGTTACATATACACATTTTTACACACACATGTGCACACACAAAAACCATGGTGAGACAGTAGATTAGTGGTTGCCTAGGGCTACGGGTGGAGGGAGTGGGGGTGATGAGTAAGGGGTACAGGGGCATCTTTAGATTATCTTCATCTTTGGAATATGCATGTGTTCTAAAATTACTCGCAGTGGTTACATAACCCTAAACCCTGTGCATATACTAAAAGCCACTGAACTGCACTTTACATATGTGAACTGTATGGTATGTGAATCTATCTCAATAAAGCTGTTAAAGCAGAGCTAACAGACAGGAGCCGCCTCCTGGAAAGGGGGCCTGGAAAGGTATCCGCCACCTCTCGGACACCAGTAGGCTGGCTGCCACCATGCAGGGAGTGGCCCAAAACAAGCTGTGGCCTCAGCTAGCCACCATTTGGGGCCATCCCTACTGCTGCTTCTCTCCTCACTAGCCTCTCTTGGCCAAAGTAGTCAATGAAAGGAATCCTAAGATCTGGTCCCTAACAGTTCCTCCCCAGGCGGGGCGGCGCCCCGTGTCCCACTTGCAACCGGCAGCGGCTCACAATCGGATCTGCCCGGTGGACAGGGCACTGGCGATCCACAGGAGGTCCAGGGCCTTGAAGGGCACTAGCACGAAGCTGACGTTGGCGGGCAGGTTCCTGGCACTCTCGGGGTACATGAAATGGTGCGTGGTTCGGCTGCCAACATCCTGCTCAAAGCCCACGGTTGGTGCCTGATTCATCCTGTGGGGACAAGAGGGTGGTGTGACAAGACTCTGACATGGAAACTGGTACAAGAATTCTAGAAGACAGTTTGGTGCTGGCCACCATACATGTAAACAGGTGTGCACTTACCTAGCAATTCCATTTCCAGAGATCTATCCTATAAAAATGGTTGCATCACTGTGCAAAAATGTGTGCAAGGATATTCATTGCAGTATTATTTATAATAGTAAAAAGAAGAACCAATCAAACAGAGAACCAGTTAATATCAATACATTTTGTCACATACATGTAACAGAACAGCATGTGGTCATCAGAATGAATGAATCAGATTTTTCATGTGCTGGTAAGAAATAAGTTTTCAAGAGCTATTTAGTAAAAGAAAAAAAAAAGGTGGTGAGGAATCTCACTTTTTTCAACACATATCTTTTGAATACCTATGCAGTCAGAGGAAATCACAATGCAAAAAAGGAAAACTGAAAATTCAATAGTGTGATTCCATTTTTTGTAAAAGAGAAAAAAAAGGGAAGGATGGAAAGGGACAGAGAAGGGGAAAAGGAAGTGAGGGAAAGAAGGGAAGAGGGATGAGGGAGGGAAAAACCTGATTTTTGTATATAAATAGAAAAAAGCTGGAAGAGTATTAAAATTTTAGCAGTGCTTACTCTTGGAGAATGGGATAATCTACTTTTTAATGTGTACACTTCTGTTTTTTCCCCCAATAATGAGCACATATTATTTTTACAATTTTTTAAAATAAAAAGACAGCCTTTCACAGCTTACAGCTCACTAGGCTGTTCTGTCCTTTCCTAGAAGACAGTGAGGCAAGGTAAGAATGGAGCTCCCCCTCAGCCCCCAGGCAGCAGGTTCAGTTCCACCAGCGCCAGCACCCTGTCGCTGCACTTTCAGTTCCTGTCTGCCCTTCCACTCCAAGACCAAGGGGGAAACCCAGAGCTCTGACAGTGCCCACCTCAGCTGTCCCGGGCACATGTGCAGTGTGGGGCTCTCTCCTTTGCCGTCTTAAAAGAACCTGGAACCCCAGCACAGTCTCTTCCACCCAACCTTCCCCTGCCCACCGCGGTGTGACACACCAAGGTGGCTTCCAATTCCTTTCAAGTGGTGCAAAACATAGGATCAATAAAATCAAAGCTTCTCTTGTTGTGAGCATCTTAAAAACAAGTGATCCAGCTTTAAACACAAACCTGTTGGTCTTTTCTGCTGTGAGAACACAGTCTTATGTGGATCACACTGCAGAATCACACCACCCAAGCGGGTGGCTGTAACCTGGGCCTCCACTGAGGACACAGGGATCTGGGAGAGAGGCAGCAAGGTCCCCACTTGCTCTCCCAGCTTTTTAGCCAGTTCAACATGCCCTGTCCTTAAAGGGGCCAGCACCCCCTAGGTCCTGGGTCCTGTGTCACAGAGGCTCCCCTGCCACCACTATGGATGGCACAGCGTGGTAAGGGTGTATCCAAGATGCCCCCCTCTATCAATCACTTGCTGTACCTTCTGCCTCTCTGGTTCCCTTCCCTTGAGGGACTGGAGAGTATTATGTTTGGGAAACCAAGAGTGGCCTGATTTGGAACTAGAAAGTGAGTCCTTATTCTTAGCCACTTTACTTCCTGTCTGCTTCAAGGAGAAACCTAGACTTTCCTGCAGGACCAACTGTGCTCTGGCCCCAGAACAAGGATTAAGATCCTGTCCCCCTTCCCCCAAACCCAGTTCTTTAGATTAACTGCCCCTCTGATGTCTTGGTCTTTAGGGTTGAGAGATCCCGTCTCCTAGAGGAGCTGAAAAGCCTTTTTCTCATCCACTGTGGGTTACAGCTCCACACACACCACTGGTCCTCTTGTCAGCACGGCCACAGTCCGGATCTGGCTCTGCCACGATAGCCCTGGGGTCTGTGAGGAACAGAGCAGTTGCAGAGGATGCCTTGATCAGATGGTGTTTCTCAGCTGCCTGGGGTATGCAAGTGGGTAGCAGACTTGAACTGCTGGCACTTAAGCTGGCTGGGGTCTGGGCTGGGCAGGAGCTGGGGTCAAGGTTCACGCTTGTGAGGACCCAAGAAACACACCTCATCTCATTGAAGATGGAGAGGCCAAGATGGCCCTGCAGATCACAGGGCTGCGGCTGCCCCAGATCAGCCCTGAGGAGCCCCCATCTGCCTTTCCCACAGTTCAGCAGCCAGAGCTGTCACGACACCCCTCCTTAGACATCGTCCAGGATCACAGCCTCCCAGCCTCGAGTCAGCCCTCGTGGAGAGTCTCCATCTCCCTCGAGTGCTCCCCATTTGCTGGGCAGGCAGCCACTTCCAAAAGTTTGGAGATGAATGGAAAAGGTATCTAAAAAGATGTTTCAGAGCCTCCAAGGGAAGGGAAGGAAGTGGCATGCTTCTGGAGACAGCTGATTCATTCTGGAGAAGCCAGGCCCTGGAAAGGGACCAGGGCGGGATGCAGAGGATAAGTTGGATTTCCGTGACTCCAGGGAGAAGCTTCTAGAGTTCTCTCTGTCCCCTGCCACCAGAGCACCCACAGCAGGATGCGCATATGGGCATGCTTAGGCTTCAGAGTGTGGGCACTCAGTCCCTTTCACTCTTTCATGTATTCACGGTGAGCCTACCATCTGCACGCGGCTATTTGAGGAGCTGCAGATCCATCTGCTGGCCAGCTGAGGGGAACCAGCTCAGCTCCATCTAGTCAGAGGGGCTCTGGAGTCAGAGGGGAGGTGGTGGCGAGGGGAGGGCCTGGGGGCTGGAGCCTGGGCACACTCACCCATCAGCTCACTGTAACTCAGCTCAGCCCTCCCTTTCATCCGTGGGGCTTTCATCCGTCCTGTTTCCAGGAAGGGAGGCCTCCCCACAGGTTCCAAACCAAGACGCGCCTATAAGCAGTCACCCTCCATTGCCATCTGGTTGCTTCCACAAATCAGCTGAAAGCCACTCCTTCCACAAAGAGACCGGCATTTGACTAGTCTGGTGTAGGGGTCAGGCATCCATATATTTTTTAAAGCTTCCATGTAACACTAATAATGTGCAATCAGGGTTGACAAATACTCACCTACAGAAAAACTCAAATCTTTATCTGCAGTTTCATGTAAGTAAAAGATATTTATACATATTTATCATAATATCTAACCATTTTACTCAACTGTGTTATTAATTCTACAAGCTTGTTGGTTTATTCATATTATCTATAAGTAAAACTTTTTTTTATCCTGTGCACAATCACCATTTTTGCTGTTCATTCCTTGCTTTACTTTCTGCCTAACTCTGAGAATTATGTTAAATAATGTTGCAGAAAATATCCTTCTTTTCCACTTGATTTTAATAAGAGTACCTTTAGACCTGCCATTATTGAGGGTTTTGGTCATTGATATGGAATATGTAAAGAACCCTGGAGAAGGCAATGGCAACCCACTCCAGTACTCTTGCCTGGAAAATCCCATGGACGGAGGAGCCTGATAGGCTACAGTCCATGGGGTCGTACAGAGTTGGGCACAACTGAGCCGCTTGACATCATGACATCCACAAAGAAGTCCTGGTGTCAGTCCACAACACCTGTCTCCTGGCCTGGCTCCTGTGAATCTCTCTCTGCCTGACTAGGACCAGGTACTGTCCAGGTCTGTCCAGCAGCCAAGTGTCTCTGTCCGCTGTGCTCCACTCCCTGGAGCTTCCCAACCATCCAAGGTGCATGGTGAAGACCTGCAGGAGGTGGAGAGGCCCTGCAGGCAGCACCTACAGACGAGAGAGCCCTTTCCGGGCTTTCCCGGTCCCACGGCTGCTCTGAGGCACTGGCCAGCCACCTATCACCCATCTCAGCCACTGTCTCAGGGAGAGAGGTCCCCTCTGGCTCCCAGCCAGCCTCTCTTGTTTTCTGGGTGCCAGCAGCCAGAAGATGGGGAGGATCTCAGGTGGCTCCGGGGGCCTGGATTTGGATTAGCATCCCCCCTCTCCCCCCTCGTAGCATCCCCCTCCCCCCACTCTTAGCATCCCCCCTCTCCCCACTTAGCATCCCCTCCCCCCACTCTTAGCATCCCCCTGTCCCCCACACACACTTAGCATCCCCTCTCTCCCCCCCATTCATAGTATCCCCCTCTCCACCCCTCTCTTCCCCCCTTTTAGCATCCCTCTCTCCCCCCACTCTTAGCATCCCCTCTCTCCCCCACACTCTTAGTATGCCCCTCTCCCCAACTCTTAGCATCACCCCCTCCCCCCTTAGCATCCCCCCTCTCCCCCTCCCCTTAGCATCTGCCCCCCTCCCCCCCACTCTCAGCATCTGCCCCCTCCCCCTCACTCTTAGCATCTGCCCCCTCCCCCTCACTCTTAGCATCCCCCTCTCTCTCCCCCCCACTCCTAGCATCCCCCCCTCCCCCTACTCTTAGCATCTGCCCCCTCTCTCCCCCCCTCACTCTTAGCATCCCCTCTCTCCCCCACACTCTTAGTATGCCCCCCTCCCCAACTCTTAGCATCACCCCCTCCCCCCCTTAGCATCCCCCCTCTCCCCCTCCCCTTAGCATCTGCCCCCCTCCCCCCCACTCTCAGCATCTGCCCCCTCCCCCTCACTCTTAGCATCTGCCCCCTCCCCCTCACTCTTAGCATCCCCCTCTCTCTCCCCCCCACTCCTAGCATCCCCCCCTCCCCCTACTCTTAGCATCTGCCCCCTCTCTCCCCCCCTCACTCTTAGCATCCCCTCTCTCCCCCACACTCTTAGTATGCCCCCCTCCCCAACTCTTAGCATCACCCCCTCCCCCCCTTAGCATCCCCCCTCTCCCCCTCCCCTTAGCATCTGCCCCCCTCCCCCCCACTCTTAGCATCTGCCCCCCTCCCCCCCACTCTTAGCATCTGCCCCCTCTCTCCCCCCCTCACTCTTAGCATCATCCCTCTCTCTCCCCCACTCTTAGCATTCCCCTCTCCCCCCCTTAGCATCTGCCCCCCCCACTCTCCCCCCACTCTTAGCATCCCCCCTCTCCCCCCGACTCTTAGCATCCCTCCCTCTCTCCCCCCACTCTTAACACCCCCCACGCCCCCACTCTTAGCATCCCCCCCTCTCCCCCCCACTCTTAGCATCCCCCATCTCTCTCACCCCCACCACTCTTAGCATCCCTCTCTGCCCCACCCTCCTCACTCCTAGCATCCCCTTCTCTCCCCCACCCCCAACACTCTTAACGTGAGAAAGGTTTTGCAAGGACTGTGGAAAGCCTCAGAGACATATTGCTGCCTTGGTGTTGCTATGGAGATAGCAACAGTTTCTAAGACAAAGCCCTTCCTTCCGCCTCCTGTGAAACCTGGTCTTTCTCAATGCTCATCCTAAGAGATGCTTAGTGAAAACTGGCATTTTCAGTATCTTTATTCTCAGGGAGCTCCCTCCACCCAGGAGTGAGATGGAAGGATCCCCCACGTGGCATCTCCTGCCCCCACGTCTGGGGGGGGGGCGGGGAACACAGAAGTTCAGGGGCAGCACAGCAGCCCATCTCCGGTCACAAGTCTGCCTCTAGTCCCTGCTCCCCTGCCCGGGCTCCCTGCTCCGCGTCTCTGTCTGGAAGGCGTGCCCTCCCAACCCTTCTCTTCTCCTCAAGGCTGAGCTCAGATGTCTGTGGAGGGAATGAGCCCTTGCACAGTCTAAATGCAAAAAGGTAAAGGGTCAGGGATGAGGGCTCAGAGCAGGCACCAACAGCTCCTTTTTCTGCCCAGGGCACCCCTCTTCTGTCAGTTGCCAGAGGGATCACCCACAGTTGTTTGGGGCCCACACTCCTGGCCCAACACCTAAGGGGACCAGACGGGTGAAAGGGCCTCTGGTGGGAGTTTTCACAAGACCTCAGCCAGGAGTCTGATTTTAGCTCTCTCCAGAGGTATTCAGAGCTGAAAGCTGAGTATGGGCTTCAAGCAAAGTTTAGAATGGGAATTGTGTCTCTTCATCCACAGAGGACAAGATGATTAGATGGCATCACCAACTCAATAGACCTGAGTTTGAACAAGCTATAGGAGATGGTGAAGGAGGGGGAAGCCGGGCGCTATACAGTCCGTGGGGTCACAAAGAGTCGAACACGACTGAGAGAATGAACAATAAATTCACCTCAGAAACAAAAGCAAGAAACTTGAGCTTCTCATGGAAGATTCTGGGTATCAGGGTCCTCCAGGACCACCAGCAGCTGGCAATTCCTCCCACAGCTGGGCAAGGCCAAGGAGGCCAGTGCCCCCTCCTGGAGGCTTGTCCCGTATCCAGCCTTGGGCTCCCCCAAGACTCACCTCATGATAAAGTTGTGCCCGTCCACATCTGGCCCATAGCCAGAGCCCCGCAGGTTGCCCGAGTTGCCCACCACGGCACAGCGCCGGCACTGGCGGGGGTCCCGGAACCGGTAGGGGTTCTCGCCTGGCACTATCTGGAACAGCTTCTCCAGCACCTCGTTGGTATTGTGTGACTTGAACTGTGGCTGCAGCATCTGTGGAGGAGAGGGAGAAAAAAGAAAGGGGGGAGCAGGGAGGGTGGGGAGGGCGGAGTGAGCAGGAGGCAACTCCCGCCTGCTCCCCCTCGCTGCCCTCAGCCTGCAGGGTCCAAGTTGCCCAGGTCTCCTCCTGTCGTGGGGGGGAATCCCCCCTGAGCAGTGAGGGCCCTCCCGGAACTCAACAACAGAGCGGCGTCCAGACCAGTGCCCTGCTCTCAGGAGCAGCTCTGCGATCCTGGTCCGACTCAGGGGCCAAGCTGCTCTTCAGCCTGCTCTCTGGGAGTCTGCAGGCCTGTGCCACAAAGTGGAGAGGCCCCCGCTCTGCGGTCCTCTGGGGCAGCTGCTCTACAGTCGTTCTGAATGCCCTTAATGAGGAAAGTCTCGGGGGAGCTTCAGGGACTCATTCCCAGTCAGCCTGCAGGGGGCGCCCCTGGGACTCAGCCCGAAGCTCCAGGCGAGATCCAGGGGAGACCTGGAGCCCTCAGCCCTGAGGAAAAGGCAGAAGGGCACAGATATCTTCCAGAGTCAGAAGAGCTGGAGAGAAACTGGTCCCCGCCTCTCTCGCCACCAGTGACTTTGAAGACTGCAGAATGAGGCCAGGGCAGCACTTAAAGGCCCACAGTGCCAGACAAGTAACACTCAGGAGTGAAGAGGCAGGTGGGCCCAGAGCAGACAGGAGCCGCCATGAAAAAGGGCTGACTTCAGCCGATTGTTGGCCTTGTGGGACTGTCAGAGGGACCAGGTTTTCTAATTTTTCAAGAAAAGCTGAAAATACAGATCTCATGTGAAATATGCTGATTCCTAAACGATGGCAATTAATGCAAACAGTTTTAGAACACCGAGCTGGACTCAACCCCCGGCCACCACCTCTAAGGGCTTTACTGTGCTCTGTGGTCCGAGCCATAACACTGCAGGTTTGTGGCTCATAGGAGCTGCTCGGGGGTGAGACGCAGGAAGGGGGTGGTGGGCCTGCTGCCCTGAGCACAGAAAGGGCCCCTGGGCACAAGAACAAGGACTCAGTGTGGAGAGGAAGCTTAGCTCTGAAGTAAGAATTTCTAGGTTCACAGAAAAAGCAGGTGACTGTGGGGAGCAGCAGAGAAGTGGTTTCTAGGGCTTAGACAGCTCTGAGTTTCATCCCTGTGGGCGGGGGGGCCTGGCCGGCCTCTCAGTCCATCGCTGCCCAGAGGCCGGTTCTGGCCCTTCATGGCCACCTCTGAGACCTATGCCCTTGGACAAGCCCTGCGCACTCTCCGAACCCGGATTTCCCCATAAAATGAAGGATGTGACTATGAGGAACAGGCAGGACCCTTCGAGGGCTCCGCGTTGTCACGGGAAGGGCCCGTGTGGCTCCTTGTAGATCCTGCCCTGTAAACTCCCCCTCCTTGGGGGCTCTGACAGTCTGGGCCAGGAGCAGGATCTGTGAGTTGCTCTGATAAGCCTGGTCGCAGGAGCTCATTCTCACAGCTGCCCTAAATGTGAAAAAGAGGGAGAGCTATCACCCTCCCCATTTGCCAGCTGGGGAAACCGGGGAGCATGCAGTGCCTCCGCAGCCCTCAGCAGGGAGCGCCGGCAGCCTGCGGGGCCCTGGGTTGAGGACTGACACAGAGTCACAGCTGACATGTGTGGTGACCAGATGGCCCTGGAGGAGCCTGTGGAGTGACGCGCTAGAGATGGTGGGGGGCGGGGGAGCCAAAGCAGCAAAGAGGTGACAGGGTCCAGCAGAGTGGCTTCCTCTCCTCCCCTCCCCTCAGCCCCCAAAGGATCCATGATGCTTTCGTATCCTAACCCAGAAGAAAACCTTTTCTAGCAAGTGGAGAGAACCAAGTGAATGGAACGGTGTCTCAAATTATTTGGGGCAAACGTTTACAAATGAGGAAGCAGGCAGCATCGCAATAAGTACTGGAGCCGAGTGGCCGCCTGTTTTCTGAAGGGCAGGCCTTCCTGTTGCCATGGCCTCACTTCTCAGCATCTTCGCCCCAGGGACCCGCCTCTCCTGTTCCTTTTGCCTCCTTGACCCAGCAGGCATTTCTGGTCTCTGTTTGGCCTCTACAAGCACTAGAAACGCGCGTTCTCTCCCCTTCCCCGCCAACGCGCGCTCTGCCCTTCACACTCTGTGCCCCTGGTGGCTGGCTCCGGCCCAGGGAAGAGTGCAAAGGGGGCCAGGAGGCAGATGGCCCAATGCCAGAGGGGACGCTCAGTGGGTCTCCTAAACAGACAGGGACAGACCCCAGGAGGGGGCAGCAAACGCCATGACTTTCTCACCATCCACCACCTCTGGACGTCGGGGGGCAGGTCCATGTTCTCCCGAGTCCAGACGGGGGAGATGTTGCTGTTGAAGTGGCTGTCAAACCACTCAGAGGCGCCGGTGTCGCCCATGCAGCGGCGACAGGCGCAGCTCTTGCCGGCCAGCCCCTCCTTGCTGAGGCGCTGCAGGCCAGCGTAGCCCGGAACCAGCTTCACCCGGGGGGCCCCGTCCAGGCCGCCCGAGTCCAGGTAGGGCAGGGTGGCTGTGCTGTGGTGGGAGTAGGTGAAGAGCAGCGACATGACGAACACCAGCAGGAAGGCCATGGAGAGGAACCACACCCGCAGCGAGCACTTCATGGTGCGCGCCCCGGGAGCTGGGCCCTCAGGCCAGCGGCAGGCGGGCCTCACCGCGGCCACTGTTTCCCCAGCCCGCCGACAGGCCAGCTACAGAGCAGCCCACGTGCTTTGGCACCTCGTGCAAAGGACATGCGGGCGGGTGCTGAGCTGGGACGGCAGCAGGGGCCCGTGCATGCGCTCCCGGCGCCAGGAGAGTCTGGCGGCAGCAGCGGCTCCTGTCCCGGCCGCCAGCCCCGCTCACGGCTTCATCAGCTCCGTCTGCCACTAGCTGGGCCACAGAGGTTCTGCTGCTCCTCGAGCCGCGGCAAAGAGGAGGTCAGTCCATCCCAGCCCTCTAGTCCCTTGGGGTTGCTGGCTGCCAGCTCTGGGGGTCCCCCTCTTTGGCGGCTTGAAACGATCCAGTCTGGAGCATTCGGGGTCCTTGTGGTTCATGAGCAGATGCCGAGGCAGCCCCTCGTCCCCCGCAGCAAGGAAGCCCTTGAACCCCAGTCACAGCAGAGAGCACGTGGGCTTCCAGCAGCCAGAAAGTCATGAAGTCTTCCCGTCTCTGGGCCCAACGCCTCTGCCGGGGGAGAAAAGGGAACGAGCCCAATCTGGAGAGAAGAGACTCAGGAAGCTCTGCGGGTGCCGGTAAATTCTTCAGGGACAAGGTCCTCCTGCCGGTGGGTTCCTCCTTCCTACTTCCCCCGAGGCGCCAGCCCCTTCTCCTGATAGTCCTAGTTGTGGAGGGGTGGCCGAGCTCCAGCTCCTGCCGTGCGGTCCTTCGGGGCCTGCGATCACTGGCTCCTCAGAAGACTGCTGCTTTGGGTGCCACCTGGGGCAACCGAGCGGGCACTCTTGGTGCTGCTGGCCCAGGCTTGGAGGCTGCCCTGCCCATCCCCGCTTCCGAGACCTCGGTCCTGCCCTGAGCAAGCAGTAATCCCCCGGCAGGTTCCCCTCACTTGTCAGGCACCAGGCTGCCGCAGCGTGACTCTGAAATCAGAGAGGAAAAATAACGTGCAGACAGATCCCACATGCACACATGCTGTCCCCCGGCCCCGCCCCCAAGGCCCAGAGTGGGCAGAGCTGGCGGAAGGAGACGCCCCGTTAACCAAAGGGCGGACAAAGGAGGGCTCCTCCCTCCCCGTGCAGACAGCACTGCGCTCTGCTCCTTAACTCGGGCATCACAGGACGAGAGCAGCCCGCCATCCTCACTACGAGCCAGAGGTGCAGGAGAGTGGAGTTTGATCCCTGGGTCGGGAAGAGCCCCTGGAGAAGGAAATGGCAATCCACTCCCCTATTCTTGCCTGGAGAATCCAATGGACAGAAGAGCCGCGCGGGCTACAGTCCATAGGATCGTAAAAAGTCAAACACAACTGAGCAGCAAACACTTTGATATTTCAACAAGGATGGAAAGTGATCTCCCTAGAGCCACAAAATGAGTACCTGCAAAAGCCAGGTTTAGGAAGCTCCTATTCCAGCTATAGGAGGTTAATTTCAGGTGAAACAAGAGAAAATGGCCCAGAGGAAAGATCACGGGGGACTGCAGATATGACCCCCCCCTGGCCTGGGTGCTCTGGACCCCTGAGAAGAGATAGAGCACCCCCACAGTGAGGGGTGCAGCCGGCTTGGGCCCTGGGATTGACCCTCCTCTCTCACCAGCGTGGGCTACACAGATGAGGCCGTCCTGGGTTAGCCAGGTGAATCGTTCACACTCTGTCCAGCTCTAGTATCAGCAGAGAACCTGACCGTGACAGGACACTGGGGCCACTGCTCAGCCCTCTGGACAGCTGCCTTCATCTGCAGGCTATGGAATAAACGCCAGGGCCCCTGTGGGTACTCACAGCCTGAGGCCCCGGGCCAGTGCCGTGAAAAGAGGCGGCAGGGTGGTGTGTGGATCCGCCCGAAGGAAAGGAGACCGAATTCACGCCATGTGCTCGGGAGCCAGGGTGAAAGTGAGGACAAGGCTGGGAGTGGAGCCCCAGGCCTGACTCCACACCATGGGGAGCAGTTAATCCCCATGGCCCACATGTCTCCACCAGCTCCTCTCCAAATCCCGCCTGCCCTGGTTCTGACCTGGCCCCAGGCACAGCTGCTCACAGGGGCGCCACCTCAGCCAGCCCTCCCAGGTCCTTTGCTGCACAGAAGGCCTCTCGGTTCCACATTCAAGAACCGCTGCCACCCTCTCCATTCATGGCAGCTCAAATTTCTGGGGCCACGCCAAACCACAAAGCCATCAGGGAGCGGAACTAGCATGTTCCAATGAGGAGACATTATTCTAGGTGGGGAAACAATGGTTGCACACGTGAAGGACTTGCCTAAGGTCGTAGCCTGAGTGGAGCTGAGATTTAAGTTCAGTTCTACATGGTTCCAAAGCCTGAGACTGGCCAGCGTGTAGAAAGCAGCCCACGAATTCCTTCAACGGCCCAGAGGCTCGTAAGAGACAAGGAGACACAGAAGCTGGCTTCCCAGGGTCCAGGGTGAAGCTTCGCCCACAGGCCTTAGCGGGGCTCCCAGCTCTAAGCCCCAGGCCCAGCCACACTGGTCCAGCGTGCTCCTGCCCGAGGGTCTCCTGCACCCTCTCCAGGCACAGCGGCTGGGCGCGCGGTCTGTCAGTATCAACAGAATACTTCTGTTGTCTCCTCAGGGCCTCCGAGTGCTCACACCCAACATCTAACAAAAAGAACTTGGGTTTGCAGGGTCCTGCTCCCAGCACCCGGTGAGCTGAGAGCCTGCCACGAGGCAACCCGCCCGGAGGTGGTGCCTTTCCAGAATGAGTAAGGGATGGGGTGAGGGGTCAGGCTGGGAGACCTTGTTTCTGGAGGGTGGCCCAGTGTGGCCCCTGAAGGCAGACTCCAGCCGAAGCCAGCAGAGGAGGCTCCGAAGGCTCCCAGGCTGGGCCTGCAGTTAACTCCTTGGAGTCCTGTCAGGGAGAGGAAAAGCCCAAGTTTCGTCACTGTGTTTAGGAAGAGCAGAGAAGCCGGTCACCAGCAAGAACGCTTGCTCTGCAAATCCCAAGGCTGGGCTGTGTGTGGGAGCTGGTGCTAAGGGCAACTGGGGGCACAGGGCGCTGCTGTTGCTAAAGCAGCAAGAAACTTCCCGAGGTCATCGACAAGCGCTCCAAGTCCAGAAGTTGCATGGTTAAGCACCCCCATGACCTCCGGCTGCCACTGCCTAATTATGATCTCTCCCCTTTCACAGCTGCTCTGGTCTTTCATGTTAAGCCCAGGCCAACCACAGGGTCAAGAAGACAGGGGAAGGGCACACACTTGGGAACCAGCCCCTGCCTCTGGGGCACTCAGAAGGAAGGAGGCCAGTCTTCCAGGGCTGCCTGGATGGTGCTGGCTTGTTTATTCATTCAACAGATACTGAAGGAGGCAGGGAAGGTTCGGGGGCTAGTGTGGGACAGTCCATACGCGTCCTGTCCTCATGGATCTTCCGGTCCAGGGCAAATACAAACACACGGGGGTGACGAATGCCACAACGGAAATGACAGGTGCCGTGAGAGGGAGCAGGGGACACAGGAAGAAAAAGCCTGACCCATTAAAGCTGGGAGAGGGGCTTCCCTGCTGGTCCAGCGGCTAACTCCACGCTCCCAACACAGGAGGCCCAGGTTCAGTCCCTGCTCAGAGAACTAAGATCCCACACACAGCAAGAAGACTGAAGATCCTGTGTGCCATGCCACAACTAAGACCTGGCACTCAGTCGTGTCTGACTCTGTGACCCCATGGACTGCAGAACGCCAGGCTCCTCTATCCATGGGATTCTCCAGGCAAGAACACTGAAGTGGGTTGCCATGCCCTCCTCCAGGGGGTCTTTCCAACCCAGGGATCAAATCTAGGTCTCCCACATTGCAGGTGGATTCTTTACCATCTGAGCCACCAGGGGAGCCCAAGACCCGGCGCAGCCAAATAAATAAATAAGTATTAAATAAATGAACACGGCAAGAAGGGCAGGGAAATGGGGGAGAGTGTTGGAGAGGAAAGTATGAGGTGCCCAGTTACGATGGGCTTTGAAAGGATTAGCATTTATTATGAATCTAATGGGCGGCTTTAAGGGAGGGATGTATCATGACCTGATTTATATTTTAAAATGGGCCCTTGGAGCAAATTTTTAAAAACAGTACCAAGAGTGGAGAGAGGATGCAGTGTATCAAGAACACTCAGTCACCACTGGTGAGAAAATAAATTGGTACAATGCTTGGGAGGCTAATCTGGCATTATTTAAAAAATGTAGACATGAATAGAATTTTTTTTTTAAGAAAAATTTAAAAACATCTTTCTCACAGGAAATATGGCATGGGAACACACGTGATCAGACAGCATGAGAACATGAGAGATTAGAAAGTCTCCCTGTCTGTCCTGGTCTGATTTATTCTGTGATGCCCCAGGTGAGAAGACATTTGGAGTAACTGCAGTCTTCCTCCAGTTTGGCTGGGAATGAAGTTTGTCACCCAAAGACTGGATATTTGGAATCAATGAGTTATAAAACTGGTGAGTCCAGCCTGCTTGTCCTATGAAGCTAATGTAAAGCTTAAGTTCATGAACTTCCCTGGTGTCTGGTCCAGTTAAGACTTTGCCTTCCAATGAAGGGGGTGTGGGTTCGATCCCTGGTTGGGGAGCTGAGATCTCATACGCTTCAAGGCCAAAAAAAACAAAACATAAAATAGACAAAATATTGTAACAAATTCAATAAAGAGTTTAAAAATGGTCCACATCAAGAAATAAATAAATAAAGCTTAAGTTGAACCCTGACAGCTGTTTCATTTCCCCCTAAAATCTTGCCCCTACTTGGGACAATCTTATTTCTTCCACTGAGGTTTAATTCACAAACAATAAGATGTAGAAGCCTTTTGATGTAGAGCTTAATGCATGTTTACCCGTGTGTGTGTGTGTAAGCACCCAGAATAAAATACAGTGCATTTCCACACACAGCCATTCCCCTCCCCCGCCCAGGGGGCTCTCTTGTGCCCCTTCCTAGTCATCATTCACCGCTCTACCATTCTGCTGAGTCCTGTCATC